GTGTTTAGCTTAAGTAACCAAGTGTTTGACCACTCGTATACCAAGCGTAGACGATCCTGCAGATCAACAAAATTAGATTGCGATAAGGTTTTAGAAAAAAGTTTAGTATCATCATATTGTTTTAAAAATATCAATATCAAAAATGGCATGTAAAAGATCTTCTGATGAACCTTCGGAATGCAACAGCTTTCTTCAAAGCTCTAAACGGATGGGCCAAGTTGCAACGGTAATTACATTTCATTTGTTTGATCTATATATAGGACTCTAATAATTTAACTTGCATTTTCCTCTTTTATTTTAGTTTTTATTATGTTACCGTAAACCGGGGTTTGAACGTTTTTGAGATATTTTTACTTGCTTTTTCCTCACTATTGACAATATTTAAAATTTAACAAAATGAATATAAGGGCTAAGGTTAACTCACACATAATTCAAATTCAAAATATTATTTAAATAATATTAATTTAAACAGTTTAATATTAGTTTAAACAGTCATTTAAAGTTCTTTTAAAATTATTTTCTTGTTAAACGATATTTATGTTTTATAAAATGAGTTTTTTAAAATCATTTTGTTATTTTTAAAAACCATTTTTTGCGTTACCATTAAATAAAATGTTTAAAAAAAGTTGTCACAGACTTGTTATGTCAAATGTTGGTTGTTTCCTAATTATTGAAATTCCATTTACTATAAAATTTTTTGGTATTATATTCTTAGTTTTAAATAATAACGGTCTTGTTTAAACGCATCAACGTTTTTGCTTTTGTATAAAACCAAAAACGTTGATGCGATTCTTAAAAACGTTAAATTGCTGAAAACCTCAAAAATGATACAATAAAAAGCTTTAATTTTGTCGTTTAAAAGTTAAATATGTTGAAGTGCCTAATACAGTAGCGTTTAAGCTAGCTAGAAGATTACAAAAAGTCTATAGCTATTTGATTGCTACATATCGCAGCTTTTTTTTAGCTATCTATATTTTAGCACGGAATGTCGATAGTTTTTTATACAGTTGTAGTTTCGGCCCACCTTTGAATGTGAGCATTTTTAAACTAACTCAATAAGTTATTTTTATTGCAATCAATGTATTATTGTAATAAAGCATTGCATAAAATGTGTTGAGTATTTAACTTAGGTAAAGTTGAGTTGATTATGAGCTGTATTTATTATGATTTCTTTTGTCCTTTTTTAGTAACAGATTTTTGTATATGTCAAGGATTAACCTTTTTTGGATATTTCCAGAATTCTGGAAATTTTTGTAACTTTTTTTTGCTGGATATCTAAAACATTTTCTATACTTAAAAGTTTAAAGACATCTATTTGTTTTATAAGCTTTTTCACTCATCGCTCATAAAAAAATAAAAGTTTGAAAAAAAAAAGAAAAAACTCAGCTATAAGCAAAAATAAGAGGAAAATAAGAGAAAATATTTTCCGGTTATTTTACCCAAACAAATTTCCGGATTTTTAAAATATTGCATGGACGATCTATGATATGTATATTGTATAAAGCTATGATTGTATGTATATTGAAAAAGTTATTTTTTTTAGCATATTCTTACTGCAGAATCAGAAGTAGAAATTGATTTTAATACATCAAAAAAAAACACAAGAAAACTCCTTCAAGTCAGCAAAACAAAAAGAGAAAAAAAAATGTATTTTTGAAGAACCTCCTTTACCATCATTACCATTGTAGGAGCCACCAAAACTTCCTGATTCCGATTCAGTATACATTTTAAAATTTTATCCTATTCGTAAAAATAATAATTTTTTTTGTTTCATTTTTATGGTTTATTTGCTTTTTTTAGTTACCATTTTTAAATAAAAAAAAAAAAAAAAAAAGTAAAATATAATCAGAATATTGTGAATGTATTTATAATCATTGTTAATTTTGTTCAGAACTTTTGTTCAGAACTTTTGTTCAGAACTTTTGTTCAGAACTTTTTGTCCGTCTCTGCCTCAATGGATCAAGTAGATGACTTGCCAGTTACACAGATAGTGTTTCCATCAGAAATGCGTTCCATGCGTTCAATTTTAGACACTAATCATGGTAATAAAGAAAATATTAATATAGATTATTTACCAGTTAATTCAGTTGAAGAGTTTGACTCACTAGAAAAAAAAAAAATTAACTCTAATGATAAAGATATCATTTGCAGAATGTTAGAGCAAATTGGTGGGAGAAATGTAAGTGACTTTTTAAAAAATGCTTTAAAAACTTGTTTAACAGACAAGTTGTGCTGCAGCATTAATCGAACTGGTGCAGATAAAAAGAGTAAGTTTATAGGACCAGTCAAAAGTTTGGTTTTTCATGCAGCTTACTGTTTATTTCCAACTGCCACTGAATCCAGTATGACTACAATAATTGCGAAACACTTGAAAAAGTCTAAAGATCGTTATTTTGTTACAAGAAAGAGAAGTTCTTCTTTAACAAGTGATTTACAAATACGCAGTCCTGTTAGAAAAAAAAGAAATTTAAACACTGATTCATGTAGTGATTCCAGTTAACTTAATTTTTTTGTTTATTTGTTCTATTATTTTTTATTGACTTTTTTTTTTTATTTGTTACAACTTTTTTAGCAATTATTTTCGAAAATTGATAAAGATTTTAAAAAAAAGTACAATTTGACAGAAATTTTATTCTATTATCTTTTTAAATATCTTTTGAAATTATTAATTTAATTTAGGCAAAATCATTTAGTTGTTAATGACTTTTTATTTTTCAAAAGTAATCTATAACTTTTCATTTAACATTTTATAATGGCTTTAACATTTATAATTTTTTATGGAAACAAGTATTAACATTTTGTATTTAATTTGTTATAAATGCAATCTTATTTTAATGATTATAATTCACTCCCCTGAAAAATATAGCACGCGATTCTTTGAGCATATCTTCTAACCTAGCCGAGATTTTCTAGCCAAATCGATGTCATTGTCGTAACGACTTAATGCTAGCTAATCGCTAGTTTATTTAGCTAGCAATACTCGTGGCCATACCGCTGTCTTCATCGTAACGACTTGTCGCTAACTTGTTTAGCTAACGGATCGCTAGCTTATAAAGCTAGCGATCCTCGTGGCCAAATCGCTGTCTTTATCGTAACGACTTAGTGCTAGCTAATCGCTAGCTTATTTAGCTAGCGATCCTCGTGGCCATATCGCTGTCTTTATCGTAACGAATATCGCTAGCTATTCGCTAGCTTGTTTAGCTAGCGGATTGCTAGCTTATAAAGCTAACGATCCTCATGGCCAAATCGCTGTTTTAATCGTAACGAATATTGCTAGCTATTCGCTAGCTTGTTTAGCCAGCGGATTGCTAGCTTATAAAGCTAACGATCCTCGTGGCCAAATCGCTGTCTTAATCGTAACGAATATCGCTAGCTATTCGCTAGCTTGTTTAGCTAGCGGATCGCTAGCTTATAAAGCTAACGATCCTCGTGGCCAAATCGCTGTCTTAATCGTAACGAATATCGCTAGCTATTCGCTAGCCGATTTCCCACCGGGATACCTCCTGTAGGTTTTATGGACCAAAAAGATTTCTTCAGAACTTCAACTTAATAACAAATAATTTTTTCGTTCAAAATAATTTCAAATATTAAAGACTTAGTCTATTTCGGGGAACTTATTGGTCAATTTACGGACCGAAAATTGACAGGATGTACAGTGAATTCAAAATTTGACATTTTTAGGTATGCATCTTCAATACAAGAAATATAAATGCAGCATAAACAAATTTGGTGTTTTTTGTTGTGCTTAGATATCTGAACAAAATAGCATTGTAAAACTCAAAATTCACTATTTTTAATTTGTTTTATAGCCAATATCTCTAAGAGGGATTAATTTCCATTTTTCTGATTTCCAAATAATTCCTCAAACTAACCTTGAACATTTTTATGATAATAAAAGTTTAATTTAAAAAAAATAATTCATGAAGTTTAATACCTTAATATATTTATATTAAATCATTTTTCATAATCAAAAAAATAATTGAAGAAATTAACTTTGATAAAAATTAACATTAATAAAGTCAAAAGTACTTTGCATTGCTATGAAAAGATTGCAGAATTAAAATGCATTTTTTAGATAGTAAACCTGATTGCTCAAATCCGCAAATATCTTGCAAACATCCCAGATGTTTGCAAGATATTATATATATAGAGTGTGTTTGGAAAGAGTGTGTTTGGAAAGAGTGTGTTTCAGATGATTTAAAAAAACTACATTTAAGGAAAGAAGATGTTCAAGACCGTGTATGTTGGAGAAAGGCATTATGAGAAACGTCCAAGCCGTGCAAGCACGGAAACAAGGACGATAATATATTTATATATTACATATATATGTATGTAATAAAATATATATTATATACATATATATATATATATATATATATATATATATATATATATATATATATTATATATATATATTATATATATATATATATACATATATATATATATTATGTATATATATATTATATATATATACATACATATATATATATATACATATATATATATATATATATATATATATATATATATATATATATATATATATATATATATATATATATATATATATATATATATATATATATATATATATATATATATATATATATATATATACAACCAAAATGCTGTTGTATATATAATATATATATATATATATATATATATATATATATATTATACAACCAAAATGCTGTTTGATAGCTAAGTTACTTTGTAAGTGGTAAATACCGTATGTAAAAAAAATAAATAAACAAAAATAGTAGAGACATTATAAACAATCTAATTGCAAAAATCCTTTAGATTCGCGCTATTTTATAATGATAAAACTGTTAAACATAACGGTTAAACATAACGCTTTACAAATATCATACAAATAGTTTTGGGCATAAAGCTTTAAACTTAACATAATGCTTACATACAGTGAACATAACGCCAAAATTTTCAATTACCGTTATGTAACCGTTATTTTAGCGTTATGTTTTTTGCTGTGTAGATATTGAAATTCAATTTCTTTTAAAAACTAGTACTAAAACTAAAAATAATAAGCTTGGTAGACTACATGACGACGTTATTAACTATTAATATTTTTACTTATAAAGAGAGCTTTCCAGTTGATCTCAAATTCCAGTTTACAACTATATGTCTTAATTAGAGTTATATAGTAGTTTTAAGCATCCAAAATAACCATCAAAATGTTTGTTTTTTTACAAAATACAAATATATTTACGGCATCACTTAAAAGAAGATATATGTTGTAAACTGGAATTGTAGATTTAAAAATTAGGAATTCATGCGGGAATTTTCAGATCATATGTTTATTATGGATGTAGGCTATCTAAGAGTTTGTTAGTTGGTTATTTTTTCAATTAAAAAGATGACTTAGAAACCATTATGGATTTTTAGAATATATATTATTGTCGGTGTTATGTTATTGATTGATGCGTAAAAATTTATATATTGATATTATATCATACGTTTGGTAAAGTAGAGAGTGTAATTTTATTAAAATTTAAATTGAACTTTTTTAAATCTGCAAAATTTTAGTTCAAGATAAAGTATTAAAAAAAAAAGTATTTATTTCAAATAATTTTTGCATTAATTCTGTCAATATTTTTCTATAGCACAATTTAATGACAACATTTTTATTCAACTAAATATTTTCCTGATTCAAAAAAAGTTTGAATTATTATTACTTAGTTTTTAATTATTGTATATTTAATAATTATTAATAATAATATAAATCTAATAAATTTATTAAATATTTATATAATTCATTTAACTACCTAACTTTTACACAATAATAAATCTAGGGTATCTTTCTTTGCAAAGAAAGATACTCTAGAAATACCAATAATTTATATTCTGGGGTTAAAGTAAAATTCTGGGGTAGTATGGTTAAAGTAAAATTGACTTACAGTATTTCTATTTCTACTTAAATGGAATCATATATGCTTGTGACGTTTACTTATAGTTTAAGTAATACTATAAGTAAATATAAAAAACATATAAATATATAAAAGACGTCTTTTTTACGTCTGTGTTCACTGGGTAATACCGTTCAGTTCATAAGTTATAGTCTTAATCTTATTATATGCCTTTGACTAAACTTAATCATTATTATTGTGTCATTCTTCAATAAATTTTATTTATTCGTGGAATAAAATATTGTAACACAGTGAGATTGTAGAAATGGCAGCCCTAAAAGATTGAAACTCTTGGTACAGAACACTTACAGTTTTGTTGATTTAGCGTATTTTTATTTTAAAGATGTGGCAAAATAAAAATTTCTCCAAATTGGTAAACCATAAATCAAAATGAAAACATATATACCTTTGATCAATCATTTTAGAATTGAATAATTCAGCTACAATTACATTTAGATAATTTGTAGCAAAGTCTTAAAGTCTTTTCTAAACTTAATGCAACAAAAGTTTAGTGATTTCCTTACTAAATTAACAAAATACACAATTAGCAAAATTTATTAAAAATTACTAGTTACACTGTTAAAAAATTCGCCGTAGAATCTACGGAGATTGTCCGGCAGCAAAGTGACAGCACTTTCTCCGTAAAAATTAACGGTTTCCGTAGTTTTTATTTTCCGTAAAAATCAACGGAAAAGTCCGTTAAAAAAATTACAGAACTTTCTCCATAAAACTCACGATTTCCGTATTTCATTTTTTCCGTACAAAATAACGGAGAATGTCAGGCAGCAAAGAGACAGCACTTTCTCCGTAAAATTTACCGTTTACGTATTTCATTTTTTACATTCAAGTTTACGGAAAAACTCCGTTAATTTAGCAAATAGACATTTTACTTGACTCATTTATCAGAGTTTACGCTAAAGTCAAAAATAAATGAATAGGATTTATATGTTGTTATAAAAATGTAATTCGACTATCAAGAAACTACTCATATTATAATATGATACACATCAAGTAATAACAGCTATAATAATTATAAACAAATTATTTTATATAATAGTGGTTATTATATATATATATATATATATATATATTGTATTTTATATACTATATAATATTTATGATAACAAATAATATTTTATTTTTTAATGACAAACTATACTATATGATAAAAATTGTTATAATATATTATGTTATAATAGTTATAATAAACATAAACAAAACGTCTTTTGATCTATTGATGCTCTGTCCACTCAAGCACTAGTTTGTTTACGAAACTTGAAACTTTTGGGTGAGGTCTGACTGCTTTTTTACCAGTTTTTCTTTTCAATTTAATTTCATTTCTCACGATTCATTTTTGCGATACATCTAAATACCAACAATTAGATCAGATTAATAAACCATTATTACAGTAAAAAAAAAAAAAAAAAGAGAAAGTAATGTTGAAAAATTGTATGTAGAGCAAGCGTGTAGAGCATGCAATTGCAGATGATCAGGATGTAGTGATATAGAAGTATAGGTCAGAAGTAGATAAAGTTCTAGAATACATTGCAGGTAATATGAAAAAGCTATG